GTTAGGCCTAGGCCGAGGCTAAACCCAAGAACTATTCGAACTTGTTTAGTCTATCTCAAACACAGGTTTAAACTTATCGCATCAAAATAATTTGGATTAGACTATGAGCTCGTTTGGCATAAAAAAGCCAAAGGTTTTTTGGTTAAAATAGTTACAAAAATATAAAATATCACATTCAACCCATAATCATTTTATTTTTTCTCTCACAAAAGTCAAAAAATCAAAAAGCTTATCCCAAACGAGATTTTTTAATTCTAAGTTAAAATAACTAAAAAGTCAAAAAATCAACTCACATCCCAAATGAACCCTATAAATCTCTAGATCAAATGATGACTCTTACTCATAGTGGGGCGCAACTCTCTAAATATTTTTATCAGTATTCATAAACTTATATTTAATTATTTGTAATCCCTTTCCAACAACTGCTAAACTGCATCAAATCAAATTATCTGCAATTACACTCAGTTCATAATGAGAAAGAGAGATGATCTAATTAAAAACTAAAGATTTTTTTGTTTTGGACAAATAGTCACAAGACATTTGTACTTTTCTAAGGCTGTTACAAGCTATTAGAAAATTAAAAAGATAAAAGTAAAGGAAGTTTTTAGTAGTATTAAATATAAAGTTTAAGCTAATCATGCAAAGAATTATGAAAGCATGCCGCAACCAAGCCAATGTGTTGGGAACTTTCCAATAAAATACAAATTGTTTTGCTACTTTAATGAAACTTGGATATGGGGATGACTCTGAATTGCAAAACCTACCAAAGGGATCAAAACAAAGTGAAAGAAAACAGAATGTCAACATCACAATAAAAAAATTTATTATCAGAGTTCAACATTTTTTTTTTTTTTTTGAATTAATTCTTGTATTAGATTCATTCACTTTACAGACTAACCTACTCATATCATATGTTACTTAATCAGTAGCAATATACCTTTAATATTTGTTTTTTTGTGTGTGTGTCTAACACCAATTAGATGCCGAAGGAGCAGGAGCAAGAGCAAGAGCATCCGACAAATGGCAATCCATCTTTATAAAGAAAAAGTTATCTTCTCATCGAACAAAGGAAAGATGCGATAGGACAACGAGGGAAAAGTGTACACGTTGTTCCGCAAAAGGATTTTTTTATCTTCAAATTTTATTATTTGAATAGATGTAAATATTGTAAGATAGAAAAATAATAACTTAAGAACAAAGAATCTCCTTTCAAATTTATTTATTTTTTCTAGAACATTGTACTAATTAACTATATATTGAAATTCTATTATCATATAATCTAATAACAAGGGCTTAGCTAGGAATTCCGCTCAGTGGGGTCATTCAGAGAAAGAGAGAGAACAAATGAAGAAATGCATCAATGGCAATGCAACAATAGTTGTTAGAGAATAAAGCGTTGATGAAGCAAATGAATGAACAGACACTGAGATAAAATTGACACCACTAAACATTAAATAGTTCTAAATATATGTGATATATGTGATATTGATCTAGATTTACTGGGGTTATTTTGTTAAAATTGACATCACTAAACAATAAATAGCTCCAAACACTGGGGTCATTTTGTTAAAATCCAAAACTATTAAACAAAATTTCATATATATTTAAACAAAATTTGAAAGTTCACACCACTGAATTACACAACCCCGCCCATGTCTAATAATTATAGCACTGTAAAAAATAAAAGGATCTCCATAAACTCTGTGTATTTTACTCTGTGTTTTTACTTCATGCATGCATGAGCATGGGCATGGAACTATGTGAGAGAAAGAGACAGGGAAGCTGATCAGAGTGTCTCCAAAAGCCTAATGGGTGTCCATCATCTAATAATTTTAGAAAAATTCTCACTGAGTTGTCTGCAAGGTGGTGAAGGGTGGGTGGGGTGGGCGTGACAATATTCAGTTTTTGTCTCACTTTGGACCACTGCCCTCATCTGTGTATGCTATGTTGGTTCATAAATAAATAATTGAAGCCTCCTAAGCTTTTTCACTACTCCCTAATAACAAACAAAAAAGAATGCATGACTATCAAACTAACAACTATATGAGTGGGCTCTTCTTGCACCCCTCTCTCGGTATATATGTGTGCGCCTCTCCTCTCTATAGCATCCATGAAGCTGGAGAGAAAGAAAATTCAAATGGACCTCTCTCTCTCTCTCTCTGTGAATATGGAAGGTTTCTGGCTGCTTATCATGCACCACTAACAGTTGAAGCTGCCAGCATGATCTAAACTTTTCTGTGTCTCTTTTTCTCTACCTATCTCAAAGGAAAGATGAGATCATGTGGGTAGATTCACCTGTTGACGGAATCATGAAAAACTCTAATCATCCACCTATTATGCATCCTTGTGCTCCTTTTCTCAATCTTATCAAAAGCTTTTGAGGTAAAATAAACACGCCCAAGTATTTTTTTTTTATGTTTTTTATTTTCTTTATTTGCCACAAGATTTAAATCTGGCACTGAACCACCCAAGGCCCAGCTGAGCTTAATTTGTATCAGTAATCTGTTCTTTAAGGTTCTCCACTAATTTGCTGGTAATTGTGTGTATTTAAACAGATTACCTAAACTCAGAAATGGGTTTAGCTGGTCTCTGGTCCATTAAGGGGATTGAACCGTGTAGCTCAAGCTCATCAGCTCATTACAAGTCTCGTTTTGATAATTTGATGCGTTTATTTTATACGCACTTTGTATGGATAATCTATATTAAAAAAAAATGATTGATATGATAATCATACCTATATAATTTCATCAAATATGTATTTAATACAAATAAATAACAAATATAATTTTATAAATATAGGATCCATTTTTCAAAGTCAAATATGATGAAATTATGAGGCTATAGTCATCATAGAAATTAATTTTTTTTATCATAGATGATTTATGCATAAATATATAAACTAAATTATTTGAATTATCAAAATAGGACTCAAGGTAAACTCAAGGGACTAGAGACGAAGAAAACTCTTAGGCATTAACATCATACATGTATGCATTATCTAAGCTAACACAAAATTATAAGATATTACCAGCAGAGGTTGGTTGAGTTGGTAAGGATCAGATTCTTCGTTTTTAAGGCCTAAGTTCGATTTTCACTGTCAGTAGTCTTCCTTGGTATATGATATGGGTGATCTATAAGTCTAATATAAGTCCTTTTTGAGCCATGCGGCTTACCATAACCCTGAACTGGAGTAGCCTTGCCTAACCTAAACTTTTGAATACCAAAATATACATATATATATAGCGGACACTTTCTGAATAACTATGGCCCTGTTTGACAAGAAGGTTTTGGGTTAAAATAGCCAATAAAGACGTTAAAATAGCTGATAAGACAAAATGTCACATTCATCCTATAATCATTTTATTTTTTCTCTCACAACTATCAAATCAACTAAAAAAAAAAAGTCAATTATCTTTTTAAATATAATTTTTTTTAGTTAAGTTAAAATAACCACACACAAAAACTAAAAAAACCAATTAAAATAACTAACTTCTCAAATGAGCTCTATATGGCATTGTCTATGTAGTATTTTTAGCCAATGAAAAATCGCAACTTTGTCAATATGTTACTCCACATAAAGTGTCACGCTGTGGAGAGTCCACATAGATGCTATGTGTCTCTTCTGTATTTGTTTGTTTTAATGATCCCTTTTCATTTCTTTTCAAATTGTTTAAATTATGAAAATAGGTAGTAATATACAAACACGATAGTGATATCTCATTTTGTAGCACCTTCATTCATAAAAATACACTTATTATTGGTTGAACAATTTCACAAATGTTAATGCCATATCATTATTCTAGTCATGAATTCTATATAAAAATTCTGTAAGATAACAATTTGCTTATGAAAAAGTATTAAACATAAACTTGACACAGAATTGAACCTATATGTATTTATTAATATGCACACTATTTTTGTATTTTTAATAAGAAATTGGTTTATGTAAAATATAAAATACTTAGATTATAGATTCACTATAACATATAAGAGTTTTAGAGATCAGATATTTTAGTCTCAAAAAGTGAAAATTTTATTGCAAAAGACATTTAGGGACCAATTTCCATCGTCATGAGGATAGTCGCTAAAAGGTCGTCCCGAAAAGTCCAAAACAAGACTTTTAACGACAAAATTTTGAAAATATCGCTAATAAATAGATTTTTAGAGACAATAATTTGGTCTCAAAATAATTTATTTTTTGAGACAAAATTTGATTCCAAAAGGATAATAATTCATCACTAATATCTAATTTTTGTTGCTTAAAATATAATAACGACCCTTTTCGTAATAAAAATATTTGGTCCCTAAAAAATAATTTTGTTATTAAATTTTAATTTCTAAAACCCTAATTTTTTGTAGTCATTACTGGGTTGCTTTGTTGTCCATCTCAACTTAGCTGTGCAACCTTGACAAGAAGCAAGATGTTATCGTTAGGGAGCCTAGTAGGTAACATAAAGTGCATGTCCAAACCTTGTTGGATGCTTCTGAGATCCCTTCTAACTAATTAATTTTAATTAAAATCATAGTCATTGGCTTCGAATTTAATTATTATGTTTTCCATTTTCTCAAAGACTATTATTCAATCATGCCATCTTTCATCAAAGAATATAAAATTAGCTAAAAAGAAAAGGTAAAAGGATAAAAAAGAAAAGAAAAGAAAAGAAAAGAAAAAGACAAAGCACTTGAGTCTTTGTGCTCTACAATTGTTATGTAACCTTTTGTAATTATTCTCAAATATGTCATGGGATATTCTGTATTCAAAAAATTCTCCTATTTTTAATATTTAATGTATTTCCAGTCTTATAAATGATTTGCCGCCTCGAGTGATAGTTGATTAGAAATATAAGTAGGAGCTACATCAAGGAAATGAAATGCTAGAACCATATTACTGTCCATGTTGGCCATCAAATCTGTGATTTGCTTCTCGGTGACAATGATTAATCCTAGTTGAGCCAAAGCTTTGAAACCTGCAATCAAGAATGATAATGTCACTGAATCGATGATGATGATGATCGTTGTTATTATTTAGAAAATTCACCACCAGAGTAGCATCCACTTCTATTTCGATTTTCTCAAGTCTAGGTTAAGTTGGGTCCATCTCACAAGGACCCAAGTTCAGCGTATGTCTATCCCATGCTAATATTTAAACAAAATGCACCACACGAAAGTAACATAAATACTAGTCTATTGCCTTAATAATATCTCAAAAGTATGTAAACAGACATCATGTATATTACTTAACGACTGGACGTATCACCTGCTCAAAAAAAAAAATTGTTATCGTCAACAGTAGGTAATAAACCACACAAATTTTATCAGATTCTTTCCATAAAAAAAACAGCTAAATCTCGCAATGAACCCACAAATTGTTGTTTGCATATCTGACTCTGCAACCAGTTTCCATCGAATCAACCACCCATGCTTTGTGGGGAAGCAGCAACTGAATCCAGAATATTTCCGAGCTTCAAATAAAACATTTGGTCGTCTGGAAAGAGAAAAGGTTGGAACAAGCCATCCCCAGCTACAGTGTAAAATCTGGAGAACATTATTAAAAACAAATATATAAGAAGTTATTTTCTAACTGCCTTACTACTTAGCACCCCCAACAGAATACAGACTCCCGCAAAATGAAATGCAAGCCAACATAACAACCAGGTGTGTTCCAAAAGAGGTATTTCAGTGATTTTTGTTTTTAAAATTTTAACCCATTCTCGTACATTCCCAATGAAAGATACAAAAGAGACAGACTTGTATTTAATATTCTGATTTTGACAGAACATAATCACCTGAGCAACCAGTGAACAACTCATTCTTACCTCTGTACTATGCATTTTGTTGCAGTTGCCGGTGCATATGCAGAATCCAATCTAAATAACCGCTTATACCACCAGTCTGGTCGTCAACTAGGTTTCCAAGGAGAAAGTAACCTTCTCTAGGTTGTTCACCTTGTCTTACAAGGTGACATAGCTGATAATATGAAGGGTCGATCTCTCTAAATTTCTTAATTACTGCCATCATCTTTCTTGACATTTCACTGTCATTCTCACACAGAGTAACCTGATTCTTAAGAACAAAAAGAATACAGTATCAGAAGAGGCCAATCACAGCATAATTGAAAAACAGCCAAGGAAATGACATTGAAGAAAACGACAAGAACACATCATGCATTGACAAGAGTCACACACACACATACAGAAGAGGGGCAATGATTACAAATTAGTGGCTACTACAAATTTTTCGCTCGCCTTCAAAGAAAAGGGCTTAAACACCAACAAGAACTGATGTAAAAGCCAAAATTTTAATACGAATGCAAAGCCAGTAAATGTAACTTAACAGATCACATTCATCAACCAATTTCTTGGAGATAAATTGTAGAAAAGAAAGAATATACACCAGAACAAGTACAACAAACTTAAACAAAAGTATCATGCTTACAGTATGCGTCCAAAGGGGAAGTTTTTCTTTCTATAAAATCCGAGAAACCCTGAAGCAAATCACCGTCCTAATCCAATTTCTTGGAAATTAATTGTGAAAAGATTATCCACCAAAACGGAACACTTCTTTACTAGATTCCTAACCTCGAGCTGCTAAGTCTGGCAATGTATATATTGAACACAACTAAGATATTTTCATCAATTAACAGATATTAGGACTCTGTTAAAGAAAAACTATGATGTATTCATATCCATCTAGAGTTTGATCAATGAATGGACATTCAGAGAACGTGAGGCAACATTTAATTTCTAATATAATCGAGAATCAATTTGGTCATGCCCCCATATGGATATAACCCCAATGTGATTGTGCATGCTAATGATAGAAAAACAAAAGCTCTTAACTGTGTCTCTTCCCACATCAGGTCAGAGCTCGTGTGGAGTAAGGTGCTTCCATGCCTCCAAAAGTTAGGCTAGTCCTTTTGGTGTGCTGCGGTGTGTTTGATGACTTACTGAACCACCTGATGAATATTCCCCCAATGTGTGCATGTTAATGAGAAAAAATTTAGCCATGCATATACACTATGTGGGCCGCATATACAAGTCTTCAGTCTTCACAAAGGATAATAAATTTGGACCAAACTTAGAAGAAACTTTCTTTGACACCAGATGACTATGAAAATTAAAATAATCATTAACTTGATTTTAATATGTACTAATGTTTCCTAATTTTTATTGTAATTAAGGGATCTTTTCTGCCATGTCCCAAATAAATGGGGAGGGGGGAAATCTAAATAAGCTGCAGTTATACAACTATTCTAGCACATCAGATGAAACATAGATTCCATTGTTTTTAGCCCAAATATCATCTGTCTCTATCTTCACACACAACCACAGTACATGTGACAAAGGATACATAGTAAATTATGCTAGTTCATGAACAATATTTTCAAAACCTCATAAATCTGGCAGTCAAATCTCTTAATAGACTTTTTAGGTGGGATCAAAGTTTCATTTCCAGTTTAGGTGCAAGCAAGGAAGGCATAATTTGACTTTTTTTTGGCTTCTTTGGCTGGCGGAACTTGTCCCTCCAATTATCGGAGTTATTTATCAAATAGCATTTCAGTGAGTGAACTTGGTCCCAACCAAAAATTAGAGAACAAATTTGTTCACCTTGTGTGAACATTACACACTTTTTTATTGGTGGATGAGTCGTGTGGTCCCACTTTTCACATCACAATAGACCAATCACAATGAAGTATAATGTTCACACACTACAAAAGTGTGAACAAATTTGCACTGAAAAACTTAACACTCCAGGGCCAACAGTCACTTAACTACATATATGTAAAAAATGCATTATGTAATATTCCACAGTTACTGAAGGATTGACAGTGTCTGTATTCCTGTAAGTACATGCATAGCCACTTTCGAAAACTCATTGGACTATAGGATAAGTCTTGAAAATTACCATTCTATGCTCTGGTAAAATAGTGTAGTACATGACAAGGACACACCAATTTTGTTTTTGTTTTTCATGTTAGAAGCATGCAAGCCCAGACTCAAACATCAAACACTCTGATCAAATAAGAATTTATTCAATTGACATCATCACATCAAACACTCTAACCAAAGCTGGCAATTGGGATCTAGAAAATATTTTAAAATAAATCACAACAAATGCAAAACTTAAAATATCAAAAAATGCATTATGTATTTAATATTTTAGAATATTACAGATAAGAAACATACCTTCGAAAAGTCTGTTGCAAAGTCTTCCCTCAGTAGGTTCATAGCTATATCAGGTGAAAGCATTTTACCAAACCAGATAACAAACCGGAAACCATCATCATAAACATAAAGGCCTCTGGAATCTAAGCTATCTGCCATAAGTGGTAGCCTTGAAATGTTAAACTCATCAGCCATTGAAGATGCCTGCAAATAAGAGATGCAGCTGGAGCTATAAAATTCACAAGATTAAAAGTATAATTGCCAAAAATTCAAACACATGTACCTTTACAAGATACTCATCAATCCGAACCAAATTAGGATATAGCAACTTCAACAATCTTTTAACTGGTAAAGTCATCATGGCGTGCCCTGCTGCGCAGCGTTCGTCGAGCTGTGCATCAGCGTATCCACCACGAAGGGCTATTGACTTACATAGTGCTAAGCCATACAAAGGCAAGAACTTCAGTGTTTCTGGGTATATCATCCTGCCTACCAAGCGATGCTGCACAGCATATAGGTTCCTATATTCTCTCAGGGCTTTGACAATCCTCTGTTGAACTGAGTTTCGAGCTTCTTCCAGTTTATATGACAGAGTTTTCTCAATTGCTGCATATTAATTCAGTTTAAAATTTTAAGTCAAGAACCTAACTAATAACGCTCATATTCCATGGTCAAATATGACATATTAGCCAACAGTAGGGGAGGGACGAGGTGCCTATTGTACCTAGCCTACAAAACAAAGAAACAATGGAACCAGTATCAGCCTGGCGATACATCTCTCCTAGATCTGCAACTACTGGCGCCGCTGCAGTATGTACTCTGATACGCCTCTCTCCAGAAGATGAAGTGTATCTTTTGATGTTTAAGAAAAACCATTTGTAATCTATTCCCCACCCATTAAAGTTTCCATAGGATTAAACATGGTTAAGCAATTGCATATTCAGAACAAAACAGAACTAGTGAAACTGCTTCCACAATCTACAAAGTCAGACTAACTAGAAAAAAATATGAAAAGAGAAGAAATCAAAGTACAAATAAAGTACAGATGTAAAACCATATTTGGAAATGACTGTGGTCCAAGATAGGAATTCACTTCATGCTCAATTAGAATGTTTGCACAGTAGCATGCCGTAGGGGGAAAAGTTATACCCATCTTGAGAAATTGAATCAGTAGGGTATGAATTTTACCCCCTACACATGCTAAAGCATGTCACTCTGAAAGGCATTTGAGTCATGATTGTCAAAAGGATCCAACGGGTAAAAAGAAATCTTCTACCAATAAGCGTAAAAAGGACCTTGGGCATTGGGTGGTCATAACCACCCTACATGAGCAAATGACTTAGAAATGAGAAAAATTATAATAAAGTATTTCTTTTGCTTTGTGCAGAAATGAAAATTGAATATAAAACCAAGACGTTTCTAAAATAGACAACTTTTCCAAAAGACATCTGGCACACTTCCATGCATGTGCACCAAAATAAGCATGCTTGAATTTCTTTTGCAAGAAATAAAGGATACAACAAAGCAACTTGAAAATATACAGTCTGAGTGGTCAATAATGTTTCTTCAAGATTCAACTGCATTGCATAAGCTTTATCACAGTCTACAGCTGGAAGCGCTAACAAATCCGTGGACCGCAACATAAAATTCCCATGGTAAGATGTGAACCTCACACCTAACACAGTACAAGAACATGAAAATTAGCTTTCCATATCCAAATTGTACAAAAGAAACTTCACTAGAAAGTAAAAAAACAAAAACAAAAACAAACAAACACACACACAATGGCTTGAATATAGTGGTATTTAGACTATCAGAATCACTGACCTTTTCCACATCTTATGCGCATGACAGCTTCCCAGGCAGTTTCTCTTGTAAGATCTCTGGCTAACTCATGTCTCAACTTCTCTTTGTGAATGGCTGAGTGGAAGCTCGGATAGTAATATACTTGACCACCAGTATATTTTGCCAAAGTTCCTATATAGAAAAACAAAAGTTGGAAATAAGACTAGGAATAGTTTCAGAAAACTAAAAGTCTGTATTGAACAAAGTGGGTGTTTGGAAAGTTGCTATTTTAGTAAGTTATTTTAGTTTTTGGCTATTTTAGTAGGCTAAAATTTTTGTGTTTGGGAAGATGATTGGATTTTTTTGTAATTGGATGTGATGTTTGTTAGAGTAAAAATGAAATGATTATGAGTTTGATGTGACATTTTGTCTTATGACTATTTTAGCCTATTTTGTCTTTTAGTGCTATTTTAGCCAAAAAAGCTAAAAAGCATTCTTCCCAAACACCCCCAAAATGTTCACAAAATACTACAAGAGAATTTGTGTGTTGCTTTTTTCCCCAGTTAGCCGGCTTTTTCTTTGCAGACATACATAGTTGAAGTCAATTAACAGATCTAATCTTAAAAGGTCCAGTGTCAGTCTTACTCAGGTTCCAAGACTACTTAACCACCAAAATTTCCTTCTCAAGAGTCAAGCCAGAGTCCTCTCTTTTTCCCCTAGAAAGGTTTAAGAGTCCTCTATATATATAGTGATGAACGAATCTTTTTTTTTTTTCTTCCTGAAACAATGAACGGAAACATCAAGCTTATTGCTTATAATGTGTGCTATTAGTGCTTAAGAGCCAAGGAGGAATTACCTATTGCTTTTATCTTCCATTTGCCTTTCCTTTTTCTCCTCTACCCTTTCAAAATCTAAACTACTTAGAGAAACCAAACATACTTCATTTTCATTATCCCATTTTTAGTATTAGTGGCAACTACATGCTTCATTGCATTATAAGCATAGTACATAACCAGTATGAAATCATCAAAACGGGAACTTCCACATTTGAAATTTGGACCAAAATGTAAGGTCCTTACAGCAATTGTCAAATCCAGTATATGGACCTAATTTAGCAAATCATAGTATAAGAATAGTAGCATAGGACTCATCAAAAGAGGGAGGCATAGAAGCATACTTTTACAACAAAAGTGCCACAATCAGATAATTCTGAAGATGTGACAGGAATATGTATGTCAGAACTTAAAATATTTCTAACCAGCCAAAAGTACGAAGCAATATAAGGTGCTCATGATTAACTGAATGTGAAATATTTTTAATTCAGACCTCTTAAGGAAGTACTATGGACGTAATGTCTAAAACTCTAGATATCAGAATCAATGGAAACAAAAAGGATAAAGCCAGAATCATAATGTAACTAGTCATAACAAAAATAATTGACAAGATAAAGTTCTCAAAAATCAATAAATGATTGTTTACGGCCCATTTGGTTCATGTTTTTCATGCTTCAGTTTTTAAAATTTTGAAAACACACAACAAAAACCTGTGTAATTTTTTTAAACTGTTTTCAAAACAAGGCTCCAAAGTGTGTGTGTGTGTGTGTGTGTGTGAGAGAGAGAGAGAGAGAGAGGTGTGTGTGTGTGTGTGGGTGGGGGGGGGGGGGGGGGGGAGTGTTTCAGTTTGTTTGGCAACAAGTGAAACCACGCAGGTGAACAGTAATCGGAAGCCTATTCACACCCCAAACACTCTTGGGAAGAAAAAGTCATGCAACCAAACAACCCCTTGAGTTTCAATTTCAGACTTAAGTACAGCCCTCTCTAAGTGAAACAGCAATATGCTCAATTTGCACCAACCTAGTGAAGCTATATCAGTGTACTTGTCACTGAATGCATATACATCCACTGCTATCTGACACTTGGTACAATCAGCAGCCATCTGTTTGTAAAATGGATCTTCAGGTATTCTTAACACATGCTCTTTATCTGTTCCATAAACACGAAAATCATCTCCACGCAACCTTAAGCGGCCAACACCAAGTGAAGGCAGTGTATTCTGGAAAATCAACAATTTACCACCAAGTTGGCCCTGTATAGAGGGGAAATATGTTAATGCTAAGTCAACATATGGTCAAACTACTTTTGAAAGGACAACAACAGGTTATGTTTAACAGTTCAAAATGGTGCAGGCAAAAAGCACGGAGCATACCATAACCATAAATGCTGCTTTAAGAGCTGGACCAAAAGCAGATTCCACATTCACATTGTCCTGAAACATCGAGGATAAACTATCTAGAAAAGCATCCACCACAGTCCTTGATTCTGACAAGTTGACAAGGAGATCATCAGGCAAAGGAACAAATATATCATCCAGATCTGAGACCACCATCATTTGAGGCTGCGTCAAAGACGACTGGTGCAAGAGAAACCCAAACATCATTCAACATGACTGGAAACTAAATTATGTTGTAGAAAAATCACTAGCTTTACTTGCCTTCATGTTATAAAAATGTATGGTGCTGTCAAAAGTTATGAACCCAATTTGTGTTCTGGGACAGCCAGGCAATTTATCCAAACAAGACTTAATAGTTTGTGCCACAACCTGAAAAAGAACTTTAAAAGTGAACATAAATCCAAGTACTTTATATATATATATATATATATATAAAAAAAAAAAGGCACCACATTGTTATCATTAAAAATAGAATTAACAATTGAACAAGGGATACTTAATAAAATTCTTGAACAAAATGACCTTAATTGAAGGAAGAGCATCACCATACAAAAGGAAGCTCACAACTACACAACTCCATCTTTGATTGTATAATCATAAACAACCTTAACAGTGCCATATATAAATGACCATAGATAGGCCTGTCAATGTATCGGATTTAACCAACCTCAAATATCTGAATCAGTTCAATAAATCCAGTTCGATTATCCGACTACATCCGAATCCAATTAATACAATTTTAAACGGATAGGATTCGGATAAAGCCGATACAATCCGATTACCGAATTACATCCAAATATGTATAATCTTAGCATTCTTTTATTTCATGTCATCCATTTCTTGTTTCCTTTTATGATCCTGTTCAGCAGAGCAGCTTATTTAAAAATCCAACATTAGCATTGCCCAAAAAATTAGTTGTTTTGATTTGGTCTGATACATTGATGCTCATTTGAACAGAGAACAATGATTTGAAAATCCAGTATTAGCATTTATGTACTTTAAAGTTACAGGATTGCTCAGCAAGAAAGGAAATGAAAACACCTCAAGTGCACGCAAATTGACAAGGTAAAAAAATTCATTTTCCATTTGTGCTGTTGGCTAAGGGGATCCAGAACACATCAGTGGACTCTTGTCTGGCTTTCATTGTCTTCTTTGGATCCTTGTAATTACAAACACTCAGCTTCTACATATACCAGATTAATTTGTTTCTCCAGCGTTACATGGAGATGATACCAAAGTTGTTCCAATGTATGTTATAATTAAAATAAATAAATAAATACAATAAAATTTGGACCGGATAGGGTTCATGGATCGGTCATCTGAATTACATGTATTCGAATTCAGATTGCCATGATCAGATTTGTCAATTTCAGATTCGGATGGATGACTAATCGGATTGGATCTGATTAGTCATATGTATCTATTCTGACCAGCCTATACACTGCCATTTATAGAAAGAGCTTTCTATAGAACACAATCAAAGCCCTGATCATTATTTCTATCATAGACCTATGAAACTGTTTCATTTTACACTCACAGCTGATTAAGTAATATGAATCAACAGATTAGTTCAGTTCCTTCAAAAAAAGAGAGAAACAAAAGAAATAAATATAAAAAAAAAAGAAAAAGAAACACAGAGACAACCATAAATTCAAGGTTGTACGGGAAAAAATCAGTCAAATAATGTATGCATAGGCATGGAACAATGCAAGATAAGTTGCTAAAGTCCATCCTTGTTTTCTAAAAGTGCATACCTCAAGCATTCCACTTCTAACAGCGGATATCGATACGTCAATGAGGAAAAAGTATCGTGGAGGCATTGGAGGCCGCACCATATATTCAGCAGGGGCTGCCCTTGCTAAGCTCAGGCCGTTCATTCAAATCAACTCTTCTGCCGCTGGCATCTAAATGGGCAAAATAATCACCCGAAACTGGAAAAGTGATGAACATAGATCAGTACGGATGCCTTCAAAATGGAAAAATCTACCACAGGAGACAACAATGTTCTACCCTACACCCAAACCCAAAGGTTGCATCAGAAGGATCCTGTTTAGCAAACACAATTCAGCTTGCATGGTCTGACATTGCATTGGAGGTTCTCTTCATATACAACAGCAATGTAAACTGTACAGTGTACCCAGTCCACACATTACATATATATGCAAAAACACATTATATAATGCACTGTGCTTTTGCATGACTGTTTCAGTTGGCAAAACAGATTCTGAAGTCACGTTCGCCATGGAAGATAATTTGGAATTTACCATCATTAAGCAAAACACAGATGTTGCAGCGCCACTTTCTTCCACCATCTGTGAATGTCACGTATGGATTCACATATGTTCGACATCTTCTACAACGAACAATGCCAGTTGGGGCAAAGTTAACTATCGGCACCTCCTCCTGAATGAAGAGGTTTCACAAGTAGAAGAAATAAAAAACATATCATTAAAGCATGTCCAATATGATCAAAATGCAATAATTCTGAGTGGATAGATGCTCACCCCATCAGGAGCTTCTGCAAGAGGGCACACAACTGCTCCAAGAGGCAAATGCCACCTTGAAACCAAAGACTGAGAATTTGGAATAGCACTAGTTGTAAGACGTAGATATCTAGAACTGCAATTCATGGGATACATCTCAGCAAAAGACTTTGGCTCCACATCACCATCCAATGGCCTTGGTAATGCTTTAGAATCAAATCCCTGATCAATTGTTGTTCCAGGGACAGAAGCAAGAGACAGAGAGCTGAAGTCTTCAGTCAAGCCCTGCACAGCTCCCATTTGTGGTCCAGAGCCTTGGTGTGGCATTTGTTCCCTTGAATAGACACCTAAAGGAGCAGCAACAGGTGGACGGGGAACGTAACCTCCTTGATGAGCTAGAAAAGGGGAAGATGTCGCAGGTGGGGGGGGACCATAACCTCCCTGACGGGTAGCAAAAGGGGTAGACTGTACAGGTGGAGGCTGTGTAACTACCTTAGATGGCATACTAGGATAACCAGGAAAAGCCGACTGTGATGACTCCAAGGTTGTCCTTGGAGCAGAAAACGACGGATCTAAAGATGATGGAGGTACATTCATGCTTGATGGCATATGGTTTATGCTCTGAGGGGGTGATCCCATCGGCACATATGGTACCTGGGGTTGTGGATGAAGAGAAGATGGCGGGGATGGAACATGACCTGCTGGAGGTCTAATTGGTGGAGAAAAAACTGGCTGCCCCAGAGCAGAATTGCATGGAAAGGCTACTTGAGCTGTTGAAGGAAATTGTGGTGTTGGGAAACGCTGGAAAGGTCCAACAGATGGTGGAGCATATGATGATGGTGGAGGAGGTATAGATGGATCATCATATTTACCTGTTTGTGTAGGTCTAAAACCAGATGCTTCTGATCCAACCATGGGCCCAGACGATAAGAAAGGCCTTGTAGTCTGTGGAGCACTTAGTGGTGTGGGTCTAAAAGCAGGGGCCTCCGATCCAACCACAGGGCCAGATGATAAAAAAGATGTCGTACTCTGAGAAACAGCAGCAAAGGGTGGAGGACTAGGTCTTTGATGGAAATTTCCACGGTTAGGATTTTTTGTCCCCATGGTTTCCATATTTCACACTTGATCTCCTTCCAATGGCTATGCTCCCGTGAATAATCCTGCAAGAACATGTCATTATTTAAAAAAGAAGAATTATAAGACATCCAAAAGACAAAACTTAGAGAATAACTCACAAAGCATTTATCACAAGAAATTCAGGGTCACTTCAAATATAGGACGGTAAAACAAATCAAAGGATAAATTAACAGGTGTATTGAAAAACACCTGATAATTTTTACTATTTCCTGTTGATTGATTGAAATGCCAAGACAGCCCCTTGCTTCCAAAATATTCTCTTCAAAGGATAAATTAACAGGTATATTGAAAAACAAACAAGCAAATAATTTCACTAATTGAAACGCTGACAGTTTTTGTAAACCTATTTCGATCACATACATGAGCAGCTCCACTGATGGACAAGTGGTGCCAGCCAAACCCACTGAAAATATGGGGGCAAAAAAATTATTTCTTATATTTTTTTAAAGGAAAAACTTAGCATAGTTGGCAGTTGTCACCACTGGAAAAGGGGTTTGAAACCTGGCCACTTCATCCAGTGCTAACAAAAATGACAACCCTCCACCTACATGAGATGCAAAGGCTCTGACCAACGAGCTAGTCCCGTTGGTTGACTATATTGTTTATTTATGTATCAATATTGATTAGTTCTAATGGATAAATTTTGAAATAAATAAATAGTATACTATTAAAAATAACAATGATACTAAGCAGTTTTTGAATGTGACCACTTACAACAAAAATCCAGAAGTAATCACTGATTTAACAATTACTTAGCAATCCCTGGTTTCCTGATGTGTTGCCCATTTCACCAAAGAATGAACATAAATGGCCTAAATACAGTCAATCCAATTTTTGATTACTGAAACAATTTCAGTATTCCATCATTCCACGCAGCTAAAGATCAAACCTTTAATCCCCCCCCCAAAAAAAAAAAAAAAATGTAATCAACAACAGGGAACCACTCAAATTAATAATCACGAACGGCCAATACAAGCTAACCTTGATCCCTAATATATTCATGACAGCATTCACAAAATTTAAGCAATCGAACAGCGCGAGAAAGTGTATTCCATTCAAATATCAAAATCTTGAGAATAAATCAATAAACAATGGTCTGGGGATAGTGCTTAATCAAACATACGGGGATCAAATTCGCATTGAAGGTAACTCCAGCAGTGATGTAACGAATCGGCGGTGTAGTGAATTGAAGATCGCGCCGGAGAAGAGTGCGAACCAAAGTTGTAGAGCATCGGCGATTGGCGACAGAAAGCACAATTACTGCAACAGTGAATTGGATTTGGGCTGCGAAGGCAATTCAGTAGAGAGAGAGAGAGAGAGAGACGAAGCTACCGAGGGATCGTTATGTAGAGAGATTGAAGAGAAAGAAGAGGAATATAGGAGTTGGAATGAAATTACTCAACAACGTTTTACTGTTACTGCTTGATGGTGTTTTCTGTTGAAAAACTATGGGTCGAATGTTTCCGGATACCAGATCCGGAACTAAGTTATAAAACGGGTCGAGCTCGATGCTAGCCCTCCTACGGACCCACCTAGAGAACTGTTGCTCCGAAAGTTTTGAAAAGGAAAAATGTTTGAGGGCGACAAAAAATGTGGCTTAAATGGTTTAAAATTGTCAAAAAGATATCGTTTTGGGCAAATAAAACGAACGTCGTTTTGACAGTTTTGAGCCATTTGAGCCACACTTTTTGTGTTCCTCTACCATTGCTCTTTGAAAAGGCCTACCATTTGAATCTCTAAATTCACTAATAATTATGTGACAAGAGAGATAAATTATAATATAAAAATGTTTAAAAATAGTAAAAATAGGGCTTTAATGAGGGCTTTACTTATGTGGCAATGGGTCTCACTCACTTGATGTATGTGTTTTTTTTTTTGGTTTTTTTACTTCATATTATATCATTAGAGTTATTGTTAAAGTTTTAAATTTAAAGTTATAAATCATTGTTTATTATAATATTATATTATTATAAGTTAAATTATAAAAAAAATTGATATCTAAATTAGGTTATTACAAACACTCGTGCACACTTTTACTGGAGGATGAGAAGGAGCATCTACGGAAAAAAATAAAAAATAAAATTGAATAGAACGATAATATTATATTATTATTGATATGTGTTATCATATTAGCAACATATTGTCGGTTATTATGTTAATATGAAAATAACAATTATTTATTAAGAAAGAAAAGTGATATCAAACGTTAATGGTGATGTAGTATCACATACTCATTTTTTACTCCTAGTAAGGATAACTTTTAAAGGGTAAGATTAAGGTCAAGTTTGGCATCTTTCGAAAAATTTAAAAAGTTAAAAAATTATTTAAAAAATTAAAAAGTTATCACTATTTATCAAAAGTCAAAAATTACGGCTGCACAATTCATAATCATAATTTTTTTCTACACACTAATTTATATAATTTTTTAATACACATTTTTCTATAAAAAGTTAAAAAGTTAACCCAAGCATCCATATTTTTTTCTTAACTTTATAATCTAAAAAGACAAAAAGTGCACTTATTTAGGACACCCCAAACAACCCCTAACTATTGAGCACTTTGAAAAGTTGTGTAAAAAGTCAACTTTTTAGCTTTTTAGCTTTTTTTAGTTAAAAAATCAATTTTTTTACTCAAAATAACTTAGTTTTTTGTCCAAAAAAATCAAAAAGCTAAAAAGTCAATTTTTTATCAACTTCTCAAAACACCACTAACTTTTGTCAGGTTTTCGCGAGCTCAATATAAGATCCACATTAAATCGTCTGAATTATTCATATTACAAGAATGAATGAGAAAATCACCCATAAAAATTGAGATCAATTGGATAAGTTTGTACATAATTGAATCATCTTTGTTATATGTAAAAAGAATGATAAATATAATTTTAAAAATAAATTATTTATTATTTATAAAGTATATATAATTTAATTAGAGGGAGTTATGGGCTGGTCCTTTGGACCGAACTTAATTCCTAGAAAACCTGATCAAAAATAATTTAGCCCATCTTCTATTTTTACCCATTACATTCAGTTGAGTGATTTTACTCTAAACCCAAGCACATCCCTCTCTCTACTATTTCTGTCATTGGCACACCATTTCTTCCTTGTAACAACCCCGACCTCTGATTTACGTTAATCATGGTTAAATGAGCCTAATCAATAATTAAGAGAAATTTCGAATTAAATTGCATGTGTATGTGTTGCATTATTGTGTTCATATATGTTTATCATAGAACTATTTGTTTCCGTTTCTGTTTCGTTCTATGAATTGAGGGCCTTATCGACATTCAATCACGAAATTGACTTGATATATGAGTTGTTTGGAATTTTTAGGAATTTATGGTAGGTTCAATTGAAATTCAATTCAGAACGATTAAATTCGAATAATTTAATGCTCATTAGATTAGTAATAATTAATTAATTATTTTTTTATCAAACCTATATAAGGCCACTCCTATCCCTTTCCTATACACTTTTACACTCTCATTCCCTCATCTTTTGAGTTCAAATGTGAGAGAAAAGAGAGAAAGAGAAGGAAGACTTGATTTCAACTAGAGTATTGAGGAAATTAGAAGAACTTTGAATTTTGGCTTTTTATCAAGCTTTTTAGCTTTTTGGAAAGTGATTTGGGAAGTTGGTAAAAAGCTGGCTTTTTTGCTTTTTAGTTTAATATTTATTTATAGTGTCAAATCAAATTAAAATGACCAAAATACCCTTACTAAACTTTAAAATTGTACACAATTTGTTAACTTGGAGGATATTTACGTAATTAGCCAACCTAGCTTTTTTATCACTTGCCAAAGGCAAGAATTGCCCAAAATGCTTGCCTCAGCTTTTTTGTGCAGCAACAAAAACGTGGCGTTTTTAGCCACTTCCCAAAACGGCACTATTTCTATCATTGGCACACCATTTCCTTCTTGTAACAACCCCGACCTCTGATTTACGTTAATTCATGGTTAAATGAGCCTAAACAATAATTAAGAGAAATTTCGAATTAAATTGCATGTGTATGTGTTGCATTATTGTGTTCATATATGTTTATCATAGAACTATTTGTTTCCGTTTCTGTTTCGTTCTATGAATTGAGGGCCTTATCGACATTCAATCACGAAATTGACTTGATATATGAGTTGTTTGGAATTTTTAGGAATTTATGGTAGGTTCAATTGAAATTCAATTCAGAACGATTAAATTCGAATAATTTAATGCTCATTAGATTAGTAATAATTAATTAATTATTTTTTTATCAAACCTATATAAGGCCACTCCTATCCCTTTCCTATACACTTTTACACTCTCATTCCCTCATCTTTTGAGTTCAAATGTGAGAGAAAAGAGAGAAAGAGAAGGAAGACTTGATTTCAACTAGAGTATTGAGGAAATTAGAAGAACTTTGAAGATTGGCTTAGAAACTCAAACAATTAGCTATCTAGCATTCAATTGAGAAACCAAGGTAAGAACTCAACCATTTGATTATGTAATTGAAATAGTTATTGTTATTTCATGTGAATTGGGAGATGAATTACAAGAATTAAGTTAGAATTAAAGAGAAATGAACTATATCATGCATGCATGCTCATTTTCATCATAATTTGAAGTTGTTTTCAAAGAATTTCCTCTTACACGTCCTTACTTTGACCTTGGTTTGAGAATTCAACATATTTTTAAGTTAGACACCTCATTAGATCATGTTTTGAAAGCTTGGAACTTACACGTTTACATGCATGATGTATATGGTTATGTTTTCAAAGAATTGGCTTTGGTTTTGCATACATCACATGCTTTTGAACCTTGATTTTGTGGAATTGATTTTGAATTCACCATGTTTTCCAAGTTTACAAGAGTTTCCTCGAGTTTTGGCCCAAGGAACCATAATTTGCAGCTTTGGGGTTGAATTTGAAGCTTGGAAGCAAATCTAGAAATTCCAAAATTTTGCTTTCACTCTTGAGTGACAGATTATGCGCTCAAGCGACCACCTTCATTTTCACACTTCCGCTCGAGCGACTAAAAGTTGGCTAGAGCATAAAATGCATGCTCCCAAAAGTTTGCGTGTTTTGCAGGCCACTCGAGCGACAAAGTTGTACTCGAGCGAGGATATGAGTCTCACGCTCGAGCGAGCATTAAGGGGAAAAATCAAGCGACCAGCATTTTGCAAAAGTTTACAGACCGCTCAAGCAACAAAAGTTAGGGGTGGGCAACGGTTTATCCGAACCGCTCAAACCGCCCAATCCGCCCAACCCGCATATAAGTGGGCGGTTTCACAAACATAATGCGGGCGGATGCGGTTTGAAATATGACAAATTTGCGGGTTGCGGGCGGGTCGCGGTTTAAACCCGCAAACCGCAAAAACCGCCCGTGCATACATCACATGCTTTTGAACCTTGATTTTGTGGAATTGATTTTGAATTCACCATGTTTTCCAAGTTTACAAGAGTTTCCTCGAGTTTTGGCCCAAGGAACCATAATTTGCAGCTTTGGGGTTGAATTTGAAGCTTGGAAGCAAATTTAGAAATTCCAAAATTTTGCTTCCACTCTTGAGTGACAGATTATGCGCTCAAGCAACCACCTTCATTTTCACACTTCCGCTCGAGCGACTAAAAGTTGGCTTGAGCATAAAATGCATGCTCCCAAAAGTTTGCGTGTTTTGCAGGCCACTCAAGCGACAAAGTTGTACTCGAGCGAGGATATGAGTCTCACGCTTGAGCGAGCATTAAGGGGAAAAATCAAGCGACCAGCATTTTGCAAAAGTTTACAGACCGCTCAAGCGACAAAAGTTGATTTTGCATGTCCACTCGAGCGAAGGAAGTTGCGCTCGAGCGAGAACCTTGCTTTTAGTAAGTTTTGTTAAGTGTTTTCAAGTATATTTTAGCATCCTCATTACATAATAAGCATTCTTAGGCCAAGATTAAGACACAATAATGAGGGTAAGAAGTAGAAACACACCAAGACAAGAAATAACCAAGTTAATGATTCCGGGTGTGTAATCCAGTACATATTTGTTCTATGTCTTTGTAGGTCACGCGTCACAAGATATCTGAATTGCCTACTCTATCCGCTTAATTGAAGCCATCTGTTATCTGTGAGTAATAACTTAGTAAAGCTATGTTTAAGTTAAATTATTTTTTGTATGTGGAACAAGAGCTATTTTACGAAATGTTATGTTTTGTACTATGAATGATTGTCCAATTCTGACAAATATTTGTGACATTAAATCTGTGATTCAAGTATGCTATCTGTACCCGGACCGGAGGTTCCTTTATGGAACTGACAAGTTATCTGTACCCGGCTGGAGGTTCCTTCATAGAACTGACAAGTTATCCGTTCCCAATCCGAAGGTTCCTTATGGAATTGACAAGTTATCCGTACCCTGGCCGAAGGTTCCTCATGGAATTAATAACTATAACCTTTGATGTT